GGTTTCTATATTAGTTATAAGTTAATATCTATAAATATAATATTAGAGTAAGTAAAATAATATACTTATTTATAAGTATTATTAGGTAGTCTAGAAAAGAACTTATAGTAATAGATATAACTTAACGTATCCTTTATTACATTTATCTTAGTCTTACTATTATCTTCTCTCTTCTTATTAGATTTAGTTTTATAAAAATAGAAAAGCTTCTAGACGTTAACTAACTAGTAGTAGGTAGGTAATAGAAGAGTTATAAGTATATTCTAATTACTTAATTCTACTTCTAACCTAAATCTACTAGTTAATTAATTAGCTGCTAAGATAACAGACTTAAATTAGAAAATAAGAAACTAATAAAAAGTAAGAAATAATACTTATATAGCTAGGAAGCTGCTTTTAAACTTACCTTATTAAGTCCTAAAGCGCTTAAGTTATAAAACAGAGAGATATTAAAGCTACTACGTCCTATTTTAAGATTATACTATTTAGTAATTATCTTTCTCTATCTATTTATTTACTATAGCGTACTTAGTTAACTAAGAGGTATAGCCTTTTTTTAGAACTTAATATAAAGTAACTGTTTTATTTTATTCTTATATATAGTAGGATCCTGTTAAAAGAGGGTAGAGTCTTCTTTAGATAGTAGAGCTACCTTAGCCTATATTTAACTATAATTATCTAGAAGGCTAACTATTTCTTAGTTTATGTAGAGTAAAACTAGAAGTAGATTTAGTATAGTATTTAGAAGAGAATTAGTATACCTTCTTAAGAATAAACTAGCTAAGTTACTAACTACTATAAATTTTACAAATCTACTATCTCCTATCTATATTATTACTAAGTAGTTAATTCTTAAGAAATTTCTTAAGAGCTGTAACTCTATAGTTCCTAGCTTAAAGCTTAATACTATCTCTAATAACTTCTCTCTATTCTTTAAATAACAGCTAGTTTTACTCTATTAGATATATATTTTTATCTTAAATAGGACTCTACTCCTTATTTAATATATAAGTCTTAAGGTAGTTATATATCTTATCTACTAAAGCCTTATAATATAAGAGTAATAGTTAATTAGCCTTCTCTATATATAGAATACTAGAATCTTAAAAGCTTTAAATAAGATATTATATATACTTTTAATTAAGCTTTTAATTTTAACCTACTATATAAAAGAGTGTTAGAAAGTTAATAGAAAACTTTACTATTATAAGAAAATATAGTATTACCTATTCTTTAACTAATTTGCTAAGTATCTAATCTAAATTACTCTTACTAGACTTATATTAACACTATATTAAAATCTTTTAAATCTTCTTTATAGTTAGACTTTTCTAAAGACTTAAAGGTTATTTCTTAGTAGATATAGATATAGATTAAGAAGTTAAAAGAATTAAAATAGATAAAGAAAGGCAGAGTATAATTAAAAAAGAACTTATATAAAATACAGCAAAAGTATAAAAGCTAGAATAGTAAGAAATAAAATAAAGAGTAGTAAAACTAGGATTAAGGTTTAGGTATTTACTAGTACTAGTAGCACTAGAGTAGCTTATTATTTCCTTAGGTATTATTCCTAAAGTGCTTAGACTATGTAAAACCTTATCTTACTAGATAAGGTTCTTATAGTCTAGCTTCTAGAGAGATAATACCTAAAGAAATAATAAGCTACTAGTAAGCTATAATAGTATATTTACTCCTAACTTAGTAAGTATAGATATAAGATAAAAGAGTTCTCTATAAGGACGTATATAAGCTAGTTATCTCTAAGCAGATAGGTAATATAAAACTTTAAAAAAGTTATTCTATTACTTCTTTTTCTACTATTAAACTAAGCTATAGAAGAAAAGATAGAAAGCTACTATACTACGTCTAGAATATATTAAGGAATAGACTACTTTGTCCTTTATAGAGAGTAGACTTACTTAAGAAATAAATAACCTTAGTACCTAGTGCTACTCTAAGAAGAGCAGCCTACCTTAAGAAATAGAAATCCTTAGTAACTTATAGTACTCTACTCTAGAAGAAGTAGACTTACTTATAAAATAGAAATTCTAAGTAACTTCTAATATTCTACTTTAAGAAGAGTAAACTTACTTATAAAATAGAAATTCTAAGCACTTTATAGTATTCTACTCTAGGCAGAGTAGACTTACTTATAAAATAGAAATCCTAAGTAACTTATAGTATTCTACTCTAGGTAAAGTAGACTTACTTATAAAATAGAAATTCTTAGTAACTTATAGTACCTAGTGCTGCTCTATAGAGAGTAGACTTACTTATAAAATAGAAATTCTAAGTA